CATTTTTGCTCCAGTGATTTCGAATTATCCTTCATTGTAAGTAATGGTGATGTTTGCCACTGATCAATATGTTGCAGGGTCGAGTTAATTTGAAAAGTCCAGAGCACAAGTTCTGGCTTATGGAAACTGATGATTATGGAGTTAACAATGGTCTTCCGCCAATTGTCCAAAGAAGAATCTTTTTCGGTCGCGAAATTGGTGGTGCTGATCGAAAGCTTCTACCAACATACCAGTTGAAAAGCCGTACTTATCTTGGCCCAACAGCCATGGATGCAGAAATTGCTTTCTTGATGGCCAACCAAGCATTGGTCACGCCAGGGAAGCTTGTATACGACCCTTTTGTTGGCACCGGGAGCATTCTTATAGCTGCTGCTCATTTTGGAGCCATGACAATGGTTTACACTTCTTTCTCCATTGTCTGAGTTTTAGTTTTGTCACAATTGGTACTTAAATTTATGTCAGGTATGCAGTTAACTATCTCTCTAAATGGACTACATTAATTTTTTTTCAGGGTGCAGATATTGATATCAGGGTGGTACGAGATGGCCGTGGCCCTGATTGTAATGTCTGGAGTAATTTCAAGCAGGTAAATATGCTTTTTGAGATTGAGTTTTGGTTCGAAAGCTGTTGTTTATGGTATCACCAAGCACATGATTTGCTTATGATGATGAATATGCCAAGACTTCTCTTTGTGCAAAGTTTGTGATATGGAAACCTATTAGTGATTTCTACTTACTATATTAGATCATTCATGTTCTGTGCCACAAACTTTGAAATTTCTTTTTCTTGAAAAAGAGTGCTAGTGGTTGTAATCATTAAGTTCATACCTTTTTGCAGTACGGATTACCAATGCCAATTGCTTTGTTAAGGGCAGATAACAATCTACCTCCTTGGCGTACTGGATTGAAAGAGGTACTCTCCCTCTCTCTCTTTACATATTATATTTATGTGTATCTTTCTCTCTTTCTATACACACACATGTATATATTTATAATATTTTGGTTCTCATTGCAATGTAAATACTAGTTTTTTTAATTTTATTTTCTACTCACAACCTTAAAAGCCTTCTGTAAGTAGCAAATGCTTTCTTTTTCTTCCCAAGTGGTGGTTACTAATCTACCTGATTCTCTTTGTATTTTTTACTGTGGCATAGTGTTGGGTGATATAGACCATCATGCCTTAAACCACCTGATGAAAGCAAACTTTTCCACTATTTTACTTCCGGAGCACTTGAGTAGCCTATTAGTTTTCCGATTGTAGTTTTTGAAATTAAAGGGTTGAAAAGAACATGTAGTAGTTGAACACTCAGAGCCATAAAGCATGACAATGTTGTGGCTGTCCTTGTTGTTTATATCTTATCTGCTTCTTAATCTCGTCGCTTTTCGTAATCTTGGAGTTTCACCGCTTACTCTAATAAGAATCAAGTTCCATACCTCTCCCTTTATGAAGGGGCATAAAATCCACCCGCTAGAAGGCCTAGTTATCTTGATATCGTTGATATTCAACGAAAGATTGCCTATCTTTCAATCATTTGTTACATAAACAGTGTAATTTGTTCGTAATTTGTTTTTTGCATTTTAAGTCATTTTGTTTTATCTGTTGAAAAATGTAAATTGTCTAGTTTGCATTGATAATTTTGTGTTTGGTCATTTTTGCTTGTGTAGGTCTTTGATGCCATAATTTGTGACCCTCCTTATGGTGTTCGTGCTGGGGGACGCAAATCTGGTGGCCGGAAGTTGATGAAAGGGGTTGTCGGCCCTTACACCGTTCCTGATGACAAGAGGACAGACCACATACCATCAACTGCATCTTACAGCTTGGTCGAGTGTGTGCACGACTTGCTTGACCTAGCCGGCAGGATGCTTGTAATGGGTGGGAGGCTTGTGTTCTTCTACCCTGTAGTGAGAGAAGATGATAATGTCAATAACTCTTTCCCAGAGCACCCGTGTTTCCAACTGATTGCTACTTCAGAGCAGATACTGAGCTCACGTTACAGTAGAGTACTACTGACCATGGTTAAGACAAGTCAATACACCGAAGAAATTGCAGAAGAAGCCAGATTAAAACACAAAGACTTCAAGGAGAACCATCTGAAGTGGTTGGAAGATGGAAACCTTCATTCCGCAGTTTTCAGTCCTTCTGATCTTCAAGTGAATGGTGCTGCTGATGCCAAAACCAGTAAAGAACCAAAGCCAAAATACAGAGGCAAGTATGTGTAGGTTTTACATATAGGCTCTTTAGCTTGGCATTGACTATGATAGATTCGTAACAGTAGAAGTAGAATGATTTTTGGGTTGTTTATCCATCCCTGTATTCCTCATAGGAGTTGAGTGAGTGATAGAGAGGTTAAAAGCGGATTTCGTTGTTGTAATTCTAATGAAAGACTAATGCGATGCACCTTTTCATATATTTCTATGTTATAAATCGTGATATTATCAACTCTTCAACCTTATCTTGATCAGTTCAATCCGTCATTTTATCTTATAAATTTTATGTTACTTGTATGCATCACTACGACATTAAGTGGTTTGTAAAGGTGGTACGAAAATATGGTCTCTCAGCATTACTCTCGGCATCAAGACCTGAGTAGATGGGGAAGGGTAGGTATGAGCGTTTTCATCGGACTAATGTGAGTAATGGGATAAACCTTTGGATTAGGGATGCCATACTTCACATAATTTGCAAACAGTTCTTTGTTCATTTTGTGGAAGAGTTGTGAGGGCAAAAGCCCAACAAAAACAAGAGAAGAGCATAGCGAAGGCTGCCTATCCAAAATATGCGAGCCCAACCGAAGATTATAGCTTATATCCATAGGACGTCGCCCGTTCGTTGTCATGTGGAAAATATCAAACGGATGGCAGCGAGTGATTGACTTGGGATACCACCGCACTTCTGTAGTAGTTAACATGGTTTTGCAAAATTGAACAAAAATGGAAATGAGCATGGATGTTTCATGGAGGAAAATGCTTTGGAATCAATCTTATTCCCACTCATGTGAGAGACATATGTTGGTGTAGAGCGTTAGTAAAATTATCAACCCAAACCACAAAATAATAACTTTTGAAAGACATTACATGAACCGCTCACCTTAGTAAGAGAAACCCAACAATATTGCAAATTTGCAAGATGGGCATCAACTTTTGGTGAAAGATTTTCTTTTGCAATTAAGACATAGTTTTAGTGATGTCACCAGTTCATTAGACACTTAAAAAAATGAACCATTTGTAATTAGCAACAAGAGAGCATGTATCCTTTTAGAGGTTTACTTCATTTCTCTCTACCCAAACAAACAATATGTAAGCAAATTGACCAAAACCAAAGACAATGGATACGTAAATTTTCTTAGGGAAAACTACGAAATGTTATTGAATTACAAAGGGAGATATAGTACATGCAAATACAACAACAACCCACTTATAGGAGGGTTCCACAAATAAAATAGCTCTGATCATACAACTTCGCTGATTTGCAGAGCAATGAGTTGGGTGGGTACGCATGTTCGACAGGGAATGACCATTTTTCCAAGTTCTCTACACACTATTTTAATTGTCAACATAGTCTTTAACACACCTGTTTTTTAGCTTTTTACACACTTTTATCTAATTTTGATCATTGGTGTTGTGTTGATTTATTCATTGAGAATAATAAAAATGCATTTTTTTAGCTTGTCTAATTCTGATAATTGATGTCGTTTGATATATTCGCTTCAATGGTTAACAATGATGAAAAGATGTGTAAAAAGTTAAAAATAATGTGTAAAAATTACTTGAGCATAACAATTTGTAACCTTTTAGTTTTATGATTATCCTTTCTGTTAACTATTTTCTTTTTCTTTATTTCTCTTTCCAACATGATGTTTGCTTAAAGGCAATATAAACCCCACCAGCATATCAAACTTTAAAAATTACCTAGGGATTCGACATTGAACAAGGTACGGCTTCTGGCACCAAATCACCTTCAAAGCGCCAATGATTATTATCCTCTCAAAGCATTCGGGGAATTTTTTTACAGTGGTCTAGAGAATTCGATACGATCTAAGTTTTTTTAATTGTTAAATCTTGAGTTAAAAAACATAAAACGCTTAAAGTATGTTATACTTTGAAACACAATAGACTTTTGACTTTCGGAGATATATAAAATCATGAAAGATATCACTTACAAGATACAAAATTCTATGAAAATGTATGTCAAGCATCATTTCTTTTAAAGGAAAACTAATAAAAATGGTTTGAAAACTTTGAGTTTTAATGATAAGGACAAAATAAAGGGTAAAGTGAATAGTATCAGGATTGACTTTTTAGTGTAAAAATGTGGTTTTTCGTTAAAGTGAACAGTACCGGGAGCTTTTCGTTAAAGTTCCCTTCTTTTAACTATTGGATGTAATGTGTAGATTGCTTAATTACAATGAAATAATGTAATGCCGAAAATTCTATATTCATTGCATTAGTTGTAGTTTGATATATATGCAGAGTTGTATAGGAACAAAAATGCTGAGCTCTTCTAAGCTTGTTCATTCATGGCACTGATGGCAGCGCTTCCGGCGAAGTTTGAGCTTTATTGACAAAAAGGTTTTGTCGAGAAAGCCATATTTTTTTCCTTTTTACTAACGTATAGGTCATCTCTATGAAATATTAGAGAGTGAGTTGAATGTGCTTTTAATATTTTTATAAGAGCTCTTTTTGTATTCTTCCAAATCCATCACATGTTCGATGCTTGATGGTATGTAACATCATCATTACAAGGTTATTTTCACTACTTAAAACCCCCTAAATGGCTAAGGATAAAAAAAATTAGTTGACTAAAACTCGTGGGACATATCTTCCACTTCCGTGATAACAAATTATATACTCAACGAAGTTTTTACCCAAAGTCATCTAGAGTTATTCAAGTGGTGAAAATACATATGAAGAAGTGCTCATGTGCACAACAGATGATGAGTTTTTACGAATTTTCTAATGATGATTGATAGAAGTGGTAAAACACACTATAAAATCCAAGTCTAGATGGTAAATCACCAAGATTTTTAATTTGGATGGTATTTACATACACCCTAAATAGGTCAGGTCGTGCAAATTATATCCATTATTTAAAAGAAAAACAAACAAAAGAGAAAAATATGAAATGAGAGAGAAGACTCACTCTCAGTCTATTTTATCTAAAGAAAAGAGTTTCTTAAACTGAAATTCAGAAGAAGGAAAAAAAACAGAAAAAAAAAAAAAAAAAAAGATTTGAAGATCAGTTCAAATTCAGCATTGCCTCTTCCTGAATCCTAGCTAGCATCTCATGGACAGCTGTTGCAATCTCATCCACTGAAGTCAGCATGCACTCATCTTCTACCTGCATAATTTTTTAAAATTCATCACAAAAATATATACAAATTCCTTAATCTTAATCTTCTAAATTTTCTTCACAAAATTAATTTTTGAATTGATTTTCCAATTACCTTGAGACTGAGAGAATAGAGGACAATATCATCAACAGTGACAACATTGAGATGGAGAACGGTAAGGTGCATATCATGCAACCCTGAAACAATTTTCAAGAGTTGCTTTGGGACCTTTTTGGATCTTACTTTGAGGCTTGCATGGCTCTCCACCATTGTCACTTCTATGTCAGCTGCAATTTTGCTCAACCTGCACTCGAGCAGCGGCAGCTCCGCCATGGCTGACACCGCAGACTCATGATCACTAGTAGATGACCTCGATGAGTACTGGGGGAAGGTGAAGAATTCGGAAAAAGGCGCACGATCATTTGGCTTTTGGACGCCCAAGAATTGCACTTCCTGCTCTAGCTCCTTCACATAATTAATCGCACCCCCAATGATTGATGCTTGGTCTCCCTAATAATACAACCCAAATGAACATTTTTTGGTCGGTCCAATAATTAAGTGCATGTGTAATAACATTTTGAGTTTCAGTTTTTAACTGAAAATAATTATCAAATAAATTTTCAATTTTCAGATACAGTGATAAAAAATTGAAAAATAAAAACGAAATTGTTATCAAATGACTCCTAACTTTACCATACAAATAACAATGACATTAACAAAGTAGTAGTGCGAAGGTATATGTAATTATGTACCCTTTGGACGTACGAGTCGGGCATTATCGATCGAAGCACAGAGAGATACTCATTCATCTGTTTTCTCCTGTTGCGCTCAACTGCAATGTGAGTCATTCTCTGGTTCTCAATCTCCTCCTCGTTCTTTTTACTCTTGGCACGACGTCGTTTCGCACGAGAACTTCTAGACATGTTGATTGTGTCCTCCAATGGTAGTTGAAATTCGGGTTGATCACCAGTAGGGTTTGTAGTGCTGGCAACTGGGTTTGGATTGGAGAGGTGCAATTCGTTGAAGTGAGGTACCATTGAAGGCGGTGAGGAATACGTAGAACCATAGTTAGGGTAATTCTGGTCTGTTTGGTAGTCGAGAAAATCAAGAGAGGCTTGCTGCTGATCATCAACATAGCTCAAAGTTCCTCCTAACAAGTTGTAGAGGTCTTTGTTAGCAGTGTAACTAAATGGGTCTTGAGGGAAAACGACGGCTTCCAGAGCCATTTTCTCTGTGCCAGCTCTCTGTGTCTCTTGTTAGTTGGTACTTTGGATTTTAAATGCAATTTATGAGTTATTTAAGGTTGCGGAAACTGAGCTTTTAAAGGGTTTCATGATGAACCAAATCCACAAGAAATTTCCCTGTGTGTGGGAAATATAATCATATTATGTTATTATTTCACGTGTTATAATAAAATTGATCTATCTTACTTTTAGAATATATTGATAAAAAATATATATGCACGCATTATAATTTGAGTGAAATAATAACATCATAAAACCATGTTTGTCAGTACACCAAAAGATCTCTCCAAATCCACAGCAGACCACACGTGATATAAAGTTGAACTAATTATTGCAAGAGAGGGAATTTAACTTTGCATCCTAGCTGCACATCAAGTGATCTTGGTTAGAAGATTATTTTATCCATGTGTATATGCATTTAACAAAGACACATACAATTCAGACATATATACACATGTCACGTCATGAATGGATTGAAAATGATATTTAATGTCAAATCTTGCTGATTTGAAAGTATTAATATTAAAATCAACAATAATGATATACACTTGTGATAATGATGACAAACATTATGGATTATTAATTATGAAATTAGAATAAAAATATTACACATCATTAATTTGGCTGTAGTTAGTAAAGTTGGGTAAAATAGTGTGCTTATCTTTATGCACGTAAGATCAAATATCCCTCATTATAATTTAAATTAATCCATAACAAATTATCGCTTCTAAATTTCATAATCATCTATTACTAGTTCTTTTGTTGCTTTTCAAAGATTTAGTTGAGTTTTGGCATGTCAAAGATAAGATAAGTGTTTGTAATTCATGAAAATTGTAACCATGTAAGTAAGCTTTATTATTTTTATGAAGATTTGAATAAGTAACTTTTTCTTTTCGTGACTAATTTTACGATGAGAGCGATGAACATAGAATTGTATAAAGCTAGTGATTGGGTAAATAAACATTCTCCTTCATTACCCGTGGAAGAAACAAATTAGTGAACTAATTATGATGTTTTGCATTAGGTAATAAAGTGTGGTATGCACGACTACTCTGCCAGCTAGCTGTAATTGTATGGAAGCTTGAGGAACCTGTGAGCCTGTGACTCTGAGAGGCCGAAAGGCATTGTCATTTGGTAATAATATGGTCGGATCGATATAGTACAATCTGATGGGAGAGAAGACCGAACCAAAGGGTGATGATCGATGCAGAGATTCTTACTAAGTTGAGACCATAAAAGCGAGAGATTTTTCAATGTGATTGCAACATAAGATTGTACACTACATATCATTATATTAATAGTGAAATATGTGTACTAAAAGTTAATAATTTAAAAAAATATATAATTTCTCACTACTTGTATAAAAACACGTGGTGTACCATGTTCCCGTCACAATGAAAAATTTCTTCACAAAAGCCTACGAACTTTGAGAGAGCCCTGCACGTATGGCAGCAGCTGTCAGCTAGGCTTGTACAAAAGAATCAATGTTGTATATCCAATACAAACAACCAATTGCTACATCACCACTCTACAATGTGACACAATCACTGTAGATCTCTCATTTTTGTGTGAATTATATGAAGTATGGGTGGTAGGAATCTTCTCGCTCACACATTTTCGTTCTACTTTCTTAGTTTTTCTCAATTTGTAATGTTACAAAATGATTCAAATTGTCTTGTTTTTAGTTCACCGGTTAAAAATAAACTCTGTAAAAAAGGAAAACGTGTAATTGAAAGAAAATGATTTATACACGACTTTTGACTTTCTGCACACCATGTTAATTATGTCTATTCATTCTCCTTTGAATTCTTCAATCCAAATTAATTAACAAAACTGAACATGAGTGTGAAGGAAAATGGTATGTGGAAATCACTTCTTTAGTTGAGAAACATAATTCATCTATTTATTGGATAATTATATGGTAACTAAACGCTTTCGATTTTTTTTACACATGATCTTTAAAGAGTGACCTATAAAATAGACGATTAAGATCATGCATCATGTAATATAAATGAGAAGGAGAATAGAAAAAGTAGAACAAGAAATTTCAAATGAGAAGTTTCCTAACATTTTCCTTGTATGAACTAATATTCATTGGTACATGTATAATGTATATATATATGCGTGTACATGTTTTGCCATAGGTCTATTATAACCTCCATCATCTCCCCCAAAGACTAGTGTAGTACTACTTGTAGGGCTTCCAAAGAGAGGAGTTTCACTTCATAGCCTTGATTAAGATGTCTATAAGTAGATCATATGCAGGAGTCCACTGAATTTTAGGCTACTGTGTTTCATCTTTCATTTGTACTAGCTAGGTTCATCTTTATTGAAACTTGAATAAGGAAATATTGTATATCAACATTTCGATCTCCTTTAAAATTGTTTTCTTTTTAACTAAAAATGTAATCGGCAAAGGCAAAGACATGTTGCAGTAACATGTTGAAGAAAGTTAAGATTCTATCATAAACTCAATTGGTAATATGAAGAATAACTTAACTTATTTATAAGTCCATGCGGGATTCATTATCAATGTGGGATTCATTATCAACATGTCCCCTCACGTATGGAAAATTTTCAAGCATAACACATGGACAACACAAACGAGAAGATGTGGAACATGTGTGGTTGTTGGGCTTCACACGTGTGACAACCTGCTCTGATCCCACGAAGAAAGTTAGATTTCCACTTTCCACCATAAAACCTATTGACAATATAGGGAATATCCCAACTTTCTTATAAGTGCCCATTCTCTCATCATCATTGGATTCATTCTCAAATACATATCATAATCGAGTATTTGTGGTACCAAGACCAATGAAAGTTGGTGGAATGCATAAAAGTTTTAGAACGAAGTAAACATTTTGAGTTTAGTAAGATGGTATCCTAAAAGTATTTGTTTTATCAAAATATAGGATTGGAAATCTCTTATCTTATGCATGAGTTCATGCTAACTGCCACCAATAAAACACCGAATCAGGCCTTTAAAAACAATATATATTATTAGACTATAAGTAGTTCCTGAACTTGGTTAATGTTATATGGATTTTTTTTCGGTTCATGAAATGAGTTTTTGCTGGCACTTAGAAATACAAATCTTTTTATGGATTGAGTCTACTATATGAGGTACACAATGCTATAGATTCTCAAAAACCACATAACATTAGTCTTAATAAAAATTAAGGGTAAGAAACTTATGCTCTAAAAACTAGTAATTTTAAGTGTATTTGGATGTAACATCCAACATCGCTCAGGGGAGTGGATTTTCTAAGCCTTATATGTATATTCTCATCCCTACCTAGCACGAGGCATTTTGCGAGCTCACTGGCTTCGGGTTCCATTGGAACTCCGAAGTTAAGCGAGATCGTAGCAAGAGCATTCCCATGTTGGATAACCCACTGGGCAGTTCTCGTGTGAGTAATTCCCAGAAACAAAACCGTGAGGACGTGGTCGGGACCCAAAGCTGACAATATCGTGCTACGACGGAGGAGGGGCCCAGGATGTGGTAGAGCCCAGGTCAGGGTGTGACAATTTGGTATCAGAGCCAATCCCTGACCGGAAGTGTGCCGACGAGGATGTCGGGCCCCTAAGGGGGTGGATAGTAACATCCCACATAGCCCAGGGAAGTGGATCTTCTAAGCCTTATATGTATATTTTCATCTCTACCTAGCACGAGGCCTTTTGGGAACTCACTGGCTTCGGGTTCCATCGAAACTCTAAAGTTAAGCGAGATTGTAGCGAGAGCATTCCCATGATGGGTGACCCATTAGGAAGTTCTCGTGTGAGTTCCCAGAAACAAAACTGTGAGGGTGTGGTCAGGGCCCAAAGCAGACAATATTGTGCTACGGCGGAGGCGTGGCCCGAGATGTGGTGGAGCCCGGGTCGAGGTGTAACATCGGAACAGTCATGTAATTTTTTTATTATTTTTTCCAAATTATAACACATTTATTTTTTTATTAATATATTATAGAAGTGACACATATTAATCATATCGTCCACTCATATTAAAACACTCATATTAAAACATGTAAAATAATACCACTATATAAGAGTGTTCATTATATATACAAAAGTTTCTCCTAGAGCTCCAAGACATGTGCAGAATTAATTCACCATTTGCTTAGCTTGATTTCTTGGGATTTGATAGAATAGAAGAGAATACTTGTATGAAACTACGCACATGATCGTGTTTTTGGTTTAAAAATTGACTCCTACTTTCACCAACCGATCTAAACCCATTAAAGAAAGCCTTAGACCCAACTGGCCCTCGCTTGGATGCATCTAATACAAAACAATTTTGGATTAACCACTCGTTTAGTAGCTAAACGATTTGTCTTCGACCTTTTTATATATGATCTAGACTGCAAGCATCTTCTTGAAAATATTATAAACCATTACAATGTCCGTGGTTGAGTTAATCTATTATGGGAAAAGGATACAAAAAAGTGCTACGTGGTCCTATCATAGTAGAATTTTAGTTAAATAGAGTGTTCGATGGTATCAAAACCATGCTAAAAGCATGTGAAACATACATGGCGATTGCTTCTTGAGTTGCACAATCTCTTTGTCTTCGCTTTTTTTTTTTTTTTTTAGATTCTTTGGCTGTTTTTTTTTTATATGTTTTTGTGCCGAAGCTCTTTTCTTATCAGTTGCACAATTTCTAAATTTTGCGGGGTTTTTTTATATATTTTTTTAATGATTTTGGCTGTTTGGAAAATTCAGAACAAGTTTATTTATAAGGGCAGATCATCTCTCTCCATTGTCTTTACATGTCTATTATTTTTGGGCTGGTTTATGGTGGGAAGTTTAATCCTGTATACTCTCAAAATTTAGATACTCGTATCATTTTTTCTCTAGGGATTCATGACATTCCTCACAAAGCCCCTACTATTCTTCCCGTGTTATGGTCTTCTTTTGTGACTCTTGGATTAAACATAATACAAATAGTTTGTCTAAGGAAAATCCTGATCCTACTACATACGGTGGCGTTTTCAGGGATTGTCATGGTTGGTTTCTTGGTGGGTTTATGTAAGGGTATTGGCCATTGCAATTCTTTC